AAACACACAGGTAATCAGCTTCTGTTAAAGGGAGAGTTCAACATCAACCATCATGTCTTTCCAAACCAGTAAGACTTTAATTATTTTAATGAGATTTCTGTCCCTCCATTGACAGCTACGCAACTACCACTTTGACGCCTTAAAAAAGTTTGTAAAGAGATCGTAAAACGAATTCATATGAATCAAGCGGTTTAGTCCAAATATTCAAAGGGGATTCTATCGTTTTATATGATGAACAGATTTATTTTAGGCTTTTATTCACAAATTAATTCACAAAAATTTAATTCTCACGCATTAAACAGGTTCGGTTGAGCTTCTGTTTTTGTTCCCTGATCAATGTTTATTTATAAAAGCCTAAATTCAGTCTGTTTATCATGTAAAGCGATTAAATATATTCAGAAACACTGGACTAAACGGCTCAGTTCACATGGATTTCAAAGTGGTAGTTGCCTAGCCTGTCAATGGAGGAACAAAAATCGCTCAGATTTAATAAAAAAAATAGATAAACAAAAGTCTTTCTGGTTTGGAATGACATGAGTGCGAGTAATTAATGACACAATTTACATGTTTGGGTGAAATAACCTTTTATAAACCTTGGACAAATACACTTTAATTTCTCTGGAGTCTAGACTCAAAAACCTCCAGTGAGAGGAAGCATGGATTTATTACAAGATTACAAGTGAAATTTAAATTAAACATTCTCTCAAAATAGAAATTCTAGCATCATTTACTCACCCTCATGTGGGAATGACACTTTCAAATTTCATAAATGAGGTCCATACAACTCATTTGAGAAACAGACCAAAACTAAAGCTGTTATTCACCCATTCATTATAATTGCATATTCCTACATGACTGTGAATATTTCAGGAATTGGATCACATTAACAACCTGTGCTCATTGCTAGTCAATTGTGTTTGTCTTTTCCAGTGCTGAAAGATTTGGTGCTGATTCCTGTTCACACAAAACCCAAAGACTCACAGAAGGAACTGGATGAACTATATGATGTGTTTTTGCACGTCAAAGATAAATGGAAAACGGATGTGAGTTTAACACTTTACAACCAGGAACGCGTACTGATAAAATATAGCTGAATGTCCTACAAGTTTTTTGGGGGCTAAATCGTCTATCAATTGTGTGAATGTACACATCTCAAGGACATTTATCTGATGGGGAAACAATAAAGCAATCCTTGTCTAAATTTAACCAAACATCGATTCGACTTTGAAAGTAAACTCACACATACCGTCCCACAGAACGTCATGATCCTTGGCGACTTCAATGCGGACGGGGCCTACGTCTCCAAGAAGAAGATGAAGGCCATCAGAATCCGCAGCGATCCCGATTTCCACTGGCTGATCGATGACGATGTTGACACCACAGTCATACAGTCCAATGACCACACCTACGACAGGTGAGGCGGAGAAACATCAATCATTTACTCATCTTTAATCTGTTTAAAAATGAAGAATTCATAAATAAAAACACTTATCATCTCGTCAACAACGGACGCTAGTGGGCATCGTAATGCGACAAAAGAAAATAGAGCTGATTATAATCCCTACCCAGATAGAAAATTGACATTGAATCAACGTGTATGACATCGAAACAACGTTGATCTGACATTGTTTTGCTCATCGAATTAACGGTGAACCAACGTCAGGCGCGTCATTCTTTCAAAACTAACGGAAAATCAACTTGAAATCAACGCATTGTTTCAACGTTATGAAAGCAAACCAATTTTCGATTTCATTTAGCTTTGAAGAATGCCGCGTCTGACGTTGGTTCAACGTTAATTCGATGAGCAAAATCAACGTTGTTTCAATGTCATGAGAGACGTCGTTTCCACGTTGATTCAATGTCAGTTTGCTGTCTGGATAGGGGTGTAGCAATACCCTCATGTCACGATTCAATACGCATCACGATACTGAACTCACGATACGATATTATTGCGATACTCCAAGTAATTTCGTAGAAGGTTTACAAAAAAAGTGCTATTGATTAAAATGCTAAATTCGTACATTGGGGGTTGAAATGAATAGGCTTGGACTTGGTGTTGGAAACCCAACGCACATGTGACAAGAATACAAATATTCATGTTTCTGAATCTGGAAATACAGAATATTTTTCAGTAATCGCTCCCAGTTTAGATACCCAGATAGCAAACTGACACTGAATCAACGTGAAAACATGACATCGAAACAACGTTGATCTGACATTGTTTTGCTCATCGAATTAACGTTGAACCAACGTCAGACGCGTCATTCTTTCAAAACTAACGGAAAATCAACTTGAAATCAAATATGAAAGCAAACCAATTTTCAATTAGCTTTGAAGAATGCCGCGTCTGACGTTGGTTCAATGTTAATTCGATGAGCAAAATCAACGTTGTTTCGATATCATGAGAGACGTCGTTTCCACGTTGATTCAATGTCAGTTTGCTGTCTGGGTATGGTTAATGTGTGGTCACATTGGCGCATTTTCAGCAAAAAGCTCAATTGTCTAACCAAGATACCTATTGGTCAGTACGGCGCTTTCGAACGACCATGAACATGAGAGAAAAATGTGGTGAAATCTGTCACCATCGCACCAAATTCCCAATGGATTCCAATTGAAATGACTGGATTTCTCCTGCAAACACTCATTGATACACTTCAGAGTATGAATGTTAAGTTATCACTATTGATTTAAAGATGAGCAAATCATAGATGTAACTAGAAGACTAAATGCATAACATGGCAGGTCAATCTGCATGCAGATTTTGGAAAATATTGATGGCAAGTATTTTTCTAGAATTGTGGTGTATAAAGAAGACATGCTACAAGCTGTTGTGCCAAAATCTGCCAAGCCGTTTAACTTCCAGGAAGCCTACAAACTTTCAGAGGAAATGGTGAGTATATTCATCACAATGCATATCTATTTTTTTTTTTAATGTGGTATAAAGTGAATAATATATTGATATGATGGCAGGCCCTGGAGATCAGTGATCATTATCCAGTGGAAGTGAGTCTGAAGAAGAAGTCTGCGGCTAAGCCAAGCACCCAAACTAAAACTAAGACATCCAAAACCAAATCAAAGAAATGAAAAGCATGATGGGTTGCCACTGTGCCACCGTATGGGATCTGAAACATCACATGTTACCTCTTCATAAGGAAATTCAGGGATAAAAATAACTCATTTCAAAACAACTGTTGTTTTTTGTAGTTCACAAGAATGAATGCTCACAATTTTCTCAAAATAAACATTTCAATTTTTATTTAATGTCATTTTTTTTTGTCCAAAATAAAGATTGTAATTTCATGCCTAAATCGTATATAAATGTGTTAGTAAATATATGTTGGCAAAAATATTTTAACAAAGAGACAACTCATGCTCAAGCAATGAATCAGCAGGCAAACGTGAGAGCAAATAGCAGATCATTGTTATTGTGTAATAATCATGCCTCGTGCACCTCTAGCAAACTCTAATTTAAAAAAAAATAAACAATAAAATTTAAACAAGGCTTGTGGAAACATCAGTTAGTGACATTAGCTTCAGCATGTTGTCTGCATTCCCAAATTAAGATCAATTACTGCAATCAACTTACCATCATCAAGGAATCAAGCAAACGCACAAATGAGACTAGATGGGCAAGAAAACAACAATTTGGTAACAATGAATGTTTGTACCATCATTTTGTAGACCGTACTATAGGTGGTCAAAAAGTAGTCTTTAGATGCGTGACATCCTCCAATAGTTCATCACCAGGGACAGGACAGGCTTAAAGTCTTTCATAAAAATGGCATTGCTGCATCTTTCCATCCGGACATATGATCACATGTGCATGTTAATGTGCTACAGTTGTCCTGATTTTGAAAACAGGAATTGAAAAAACGTCAGGGAACTGCAGGCCTGGTGTTTGGTCTCTCTATGTACTAAAAAAGGTTGGTAAAAATGCGTATCAACTCACCGACCTAGGAGGGGATCAAGTCCATTGAGGAATATCTTTGTTTCTATATCAATTCTGTTTACAAACTCTTCTGAATTGTCACCAACTTTCCATAACCTCCCTTTCTTAAAAAAAACCCCATTAATTCTAGGCTATAGTCTTCATAAAGCCCAATTTATACTTCTGCGTCAAGCTCACACCGTATCTACGCCGTATGCTGTGTGTAGCGCGCGTACCCTTCGGCGTACCCTGACGTGCACCTCTCCAAAAATGCAAAGGCCAATTTATACTTCTGCGTCGAGGTTACGCCGTAGTGTACGGCGTTGGCTATGCACGTAGGCTACGCCGTTGTGAGCGGTTATACTTCTGCGTTCAGGTCTTGGTTGCTCTGCAGTACTGCTCCGAAACGCTAGTTGGCGGCGGAGGGTTTTATTGTTCCACTGTGTTTAGATTCCTTGCGGCTAGGTAACTACAAGCAATAGCGACTGAAAGAGAGCGGATCATTTTGGAGTTGGAGCTTATTGAGGTGGAAAAACAGTTTATTTTAGTGAAATTACTAAAACTGAAAGGCAGAAATGAGAGAAGACGTCGGAGGAGATGGTACGTGTGGAAATGCGTGAAAAGGTACGTGCGGAAATGCGTAGGAGGAAATACGATGCTACCAAGCCGACCAATCACCGATCTTGCGGTCCGCATCGTCGCGACGTGTAGTTACATTTTTGAGGAGGTGCGCGTCAGGCTACACCCAGATAGCAAACTGACATTGAATCAACGTGGAAATATGACATCAAAACAACGTTGATCTGACATTGTTTTGCTCATCGAATTAACGTTGAACCAGCGTCATTCTTTCAAAACTAACGGAAAATCAACTTGAAATCAACGCGTTGTTTCAATGTTATGAAAGCAAACCAATTTTCGATTTTCATTTAGCTTTGAAGAATGACGCGTCTGACGTTGGTTCAACGTTAATTCGATGAGCAAAATCAACGTTGTTTCAATGTCATGAGAGACGTCGTTTCCGCGTTGATTCAATGTCAGTTTGCTGTCTGGGCAGCGAAGGGTACACGATATGGGACGCGTCTGTGCGTATGCTACACCGTACCTACTGCGCGCACCCTACGCAGAAGTATAAATTGGCCTTAACAACACGTCAATTCAACGCGTACCACAAGCGCTGTGATTGGTCTGCTAGAACCGCTCCTCGGCTTTCACATGCTCCCTCTGCATGTGAAATTGCGCGTCAATGCAAACAACGACGCAGAAGTATGAATTAAAACAACCGCGTAGTCTTTAGCGTAGAGGCTCCGGCGTAGGTCCGACGCAGAAGTATAAATCAGCCTTAACCTTTAATTTACTATCAAATAAACAGCGATGAAATTTAAGGATTAGTCAGCTCTATTTACAACAGCTAAGATTGAGAAAAATCTATTAATGGCATAAGAATCTAGTACAATTAAAAGATTAAAGTTGTAATGTTGTGTGAATAAAGCAGAAATGTTATAAGTTAAAAAGCGCTGTTACTGAGAAATGGCATGATTTTTTAAATGTTAAATGTTGCTTCTATTTTAAAACATTAAGAAAATTAGAATAGCAAATAAAATCGTCAAGAATTTAATCATTCATTAAACGGTGTGGTTTGTTAGCGATTCTTCTAATACTTGAAGAAATATTGATCCCTACTACTTACCAAAAAGTAGTATTGTTGTTTGTTTAGTACCAAATATTTGCATGTTTTTAGCAAATTACCATGTAAAGTAACAGTTAGGTCCTGTTTACACCTGGTATTAAGCAGTGGCAGCTTGTCAGGAGAAGGATGATTTAATATTAATAAAATTCCTAGTTATTCATTTTATGTCTCAGAATGTGTACATTGTGTTTGTAATTTCACCACTTTAAGTTTAACCAACGCACGCCTCTTCCCCGAATGTGCCGAATATGTACAACATGAGCCTGGGATAGAAAGGCAAATCCATCGCCGGAGACTTGGCCAATCACCATCGAGTATTTCACTTTCAGCGATTAGGGGTGTTGAGAAAAGCCACATGGCAGAGAAGGCTAGCTTCCCTTGGTACATCATCCATTCATCGCCGAGACGTAAATTACGTGATTTTTAGTTTGAACTGCTACCACTGATGTAAATATGGAGAGAAGAGATATTTTCTGAAACCGCAAAATAGCACTAGGGAAACACGCCTTCTTTTTGCGCCGATCCGCCCAAGGGGCGCAAGTTAATTCCCTAGTTTACCGATGTGCATCTGTGGAGGGAAAAACCCATTTTGCGCGGGTGCAAAAAGGGAATGTTACATGCGTTGGTGCATAAAGTCATTTGCGCCGAATGCAAGGTAGAGCCCCAGGTGTAAAACGTCTCCATTGTCTTCTTGTAATTCGTTCAACCAAAACTCATCCTAACTCCTGGTGTAAACCGAGTCACTACACTGGTTCAAGTCTAAGTCCAGAAAATTTAGTAACAGTTCCCATTTTATCAGTTGCGCGGTACGTTTGCGGATGCAAGTAATACAGTGGAAAGATCGACTAGAAGGACTATCCTCAAATTTTTCTCTCTCATCCCACTTGACTCAAACTATTATGTTACTTTCATGCTACACTTCTGAGTATTGTTTAGTCTTGTGTTTGAATTTGTTCTCATCTATTAGTTTTGGAAAGTGAATTGAACTTAACATCCCGACCCTAGTCCAATCTACACTCAAAATCCCAGAACTTTACTCTTCATCGGTCTCGCTACAACTACCTTGTTCATGCCAGATAGTGAAACATTCGCGCTTGGGAACGAAGCACAATGGCACGTCACAAGTCACACACATGACTGGAGTTTTAAAGGTACATATTTTGCATTTTCGCCTTCCAATACTGCTGTCCCCGCTGATGTACTTGGGCAGATGGGGGTCATTCGAAGGAATCGGGCGTATTTGTGCAGGAGCAGATGGAGGGCCCGTTCCTGCGAGCTCTGCAACAAGAGCCTCCCGGAAGGCCTTCTGGGTCAAAGGCTTCTGGTTATTCATCTTGGCCATCTGCTGGTGCAAAATGAAGGCGTTTACGACAGCGATGTCCACAAAGTGGTAGAAAAAGGATCGATACCATCTTCTTGTTTTATGAAGAACGGTGTAAAATGAAATAAGTGCGTCGGACAGATCCACTCCTCCCATGTGCCTGGAACGAAAAGAATCAGATTTGTCATTTAAAAGGCACACACAAACTTTACACCACTGATTAAAGTCTACTAACTTGTTGTAGTCCAACACTGCGGCTGGAACGGGGAAATCTTGAATGGCCCAAACTCCATCGGCTCCTTTCACATTCCTCTTTATGGTGTCTCCATTAAAGGCTTTGTGAAAGGTGGAGCACATCAGCACATCCCTCTTGTCCTTCCACTCAACAAACAGCAGGTTGTCTTCCCGAAACCAGCGGATATTGCCACGAGGAGCCAGTTTCTTTGAGTGGCCAATGCGGTTCGCTCGAACAGTGCCACAAGCCCAGATCTTCTTAGCGAGCAAGTCTCTGAAGAGCTTGGGACTGGTGTAAAAGTTGTCAACAAACAGCTTGTAGCCAGAACCCAGCAACCTTGTGTCTGCCAAGCTAATGACCGAATCATAACTAATGCCTTTGCTAAGCTCTGCGTTCATTTTTCCCTCATAAATGAAGAAGTCCCATGTGTAGCCACAGAGGGAATCTGCCAGTACGAAGAGTTTGTACCCCCATTTTGTAGGTTTGTTTTTCATATACTGTTTGAGTCCATTTTTAGCCTTTGAGGCCACCATTCTTTCATCAATGGAGATGTTCTGAAAGGGATGAAAAGTGGATCTGCATGCGTCCCTAATGTCCTGGTACAGCGGTTTGATCCTAAACAGGCGGTCATAGTCAGGCGTTCCCTTCTTTGCGTCATTCTCTGCATCCAGTTTGGGATCACTAAGATGGAGAGCTTTAGAGATGGACATAAATTTCCTACTTGACATGATTTGCGCAGGGTACGGCAGACTGTACATGTGAGACTTCCTCCAATAGTCCGTCAGTTGAAAGCATTTGAGCAAACCCATGTAAATCACCAGTGCTAGGAAGGACTTAAAATCTTTTACTGAAATGTCCTGCCATGGCTTCTTCGTTCCTTCATGACGCATGGCCCCGTATGCATTTGAGTTGGCTAGAATTGTCCGCATGACAGATTTGGAAAAGAATAACTCAAAATACTGTAGAGGACTACATGATGCATTGGAGACCAGCTGTGGGCCGGGTGTTAGTCTAGGTCTGAAAAGTGGCTGAGTCGGCTCAATATCAGGCTCATCCGCACTTTTCCACTTGTCTTCTAAGATGCTTAAGGAAAAAGGTAGGGATCGACTCACACTGTTTTTCCTATCTTTACCTTTCTTACTTTGTACAGAAGCAGGGGAATCAGATTTGCAAGACTTTGCTGGAGATGGTGAGATGCAAAACAGACTGGATCTCTTCTTCTTTCGTGGAGTGACCTCTGGATTCCAGTCAGCATCAGGGGCATCATAATCGGAAAACCTGTTGCATGATGCAAGAAAACAAAAACATTACAAACGTACTACACTAAGCAATAACAAATGTGACACAATCAAAAAAGTGAATTGCTGAATTCATCTTTTTATTTTCTACAACTTAATATGAGTTACATTACATTTCTGAATGCTGTGTTATTGTAATAATTTCTAGAATGAACAATACCCAGACAGCAAACTGACATTGAATCAACGTTGAAATGACGTCTCTCATGACATTGAAACAACGTTGATTTTGCTCATCGAATTAACGTTCAACCAACGTCAGACGCAGCATTCTTAAAAGCTAAATGAAAATCGAAAATTGGTTTGCTTTCATAACGTTGAAACAACGTTGATTTCAAGTTGATTTTCCGTTAGTTTTGAAAGAATGACGCATCTGACGTTGGTTCAACGTTAATTCGATGAGAAAAACAATGTCAGATCAACGTTGTTTCGATGTCATGTTTCCACGTTGATTCAATGTCAGTTTTTCCATCTAGGTAATATTTCAGCCCGTTCATATACGACGCTTTTGCCAAAGCGTAGACATTCAACGCACATGGCACCCTTTAGCGTCAATATGAGACCCAGATATATATGGGGCAGAAGGCGTCTTCTAGTGGTCTAACCCTAACACTACCCCACACCTAAACCTACCCATACTCTGTGCGTGTTATATTATATTATATACGCTAATGTGCGTTGGATGTCTACACTTTGGCAAAAGTGTTGTATATGACGCCTTGGGATGAGAATGCGTTGATTATTTATGAACGGGAGAAACTACAATACACAAAATGGCGGAATACATTCCGCCTTCAAAGTAAAAGGTCCAATCGCCGATCGTTAAAGTCGTGGCGTCACTGCAGCTGCCGTTAGAAGCTCTGGTTCCCATAGAAACCTGAGATGTATGCGCATTGCGCAATGGCTTAGTCTAGTCCGAAAAATAAACTTTTTCACGCTATTTGAGCATAAGAAACAACATTTATGGGACAGAACATGTCAGATTTTGTTGCTGGTTTGACATTTGTTATTTGATTTTGAGTTCAGCAAGCAGTTTTTATGATTTCTGGATCCCCCATTCAAATAGGGCTAGGTCTTGGTGGATCCCCGAAATAGCTGCCTGGATTCCAAATAATGGGCTCCTATGAACAGACTTCCCTTGAAATGGAGTACCCCTCACAGCCTCGCTTCATTTCTGTTGGAAATCAAAGATGGAGCTGTGAATAAGGTCTATTGATACGTGTTGTTGAGGGTCTAGCTAGCACCAGGGATAGGAAGAAACCAACAAAGCACGGTGTCTCGGACCACACAAACGCGCTTTTCTTTTCTTTTCTTTTTTCTGACTCCACGATGCGGTAAAAACAACACGTTCACACAACAAACATTCACACAGTTTAAAACATGTTTAAACAGGTGTGTGCAAATCTACTGTATGAAATTGACACCGTTTCAAAACGTGACCGAAGGGCACATAAAAAAAACCCAACTTCCTTCACCCAAAACAGACGCAGAAATTAAAAATATTAATTTATGTGAGTCGAGGCTTTAACTGTGTAATGCTGCGTAAAAATAAAAAATAATATTCAAAAACACATAAATTGCATACAATTTCAGTATCATATTACTATTTAAAAATGGACAGTGTTACAAAAGATAAGTTAAAGTGGCAAGAGACCTTGTCACAACTAAAATTAACTGGGGAAAAAGCGTGTGGAGTCCACTTTCAAAAACACACCGTCAAGCTAAGCCAATTTAATTTATGGTGCTTTTAAAATTATATGAATTCAAAGCAAACTGTTAATATTGGGTAAATAAATCTGTTTCAGTTTGGGGAACATGTTGCACGCAAGACAACAATGTAGCCTACATTAAAATAAATCGGCGCAATGAACTTTTCATTCATTCATTGAAACATTTGTGATGTTGACATGCAAAAGTAGAAGGTTAGTTTCGAATAACAATGACGAACTTGTGTGAAAATATACATGAACTTACTCGTCCAGAACGGTCTCTAAACAATCGAGGGAGATCTCCTCTACAGCAGAGTCCACGCAAGAAGCGACACTTTCTTTATCAGATGAAGATTCCCATTCCTCTGTCTCGTCTTGTTCTTCATCGCTGTTAACACATTCCTCCGAGCTGTCCAGAACACTGTCAACCTTCTCCTTATTGCATGCATCCATCTCTAAATGCAGTGCTAAGTCAAAGTCGCAGATAGATAAGGCAAATCTCTCCAGCAAGTGTAGCAAACACATCAAGCGGTGATTTATTGCAGAATGAAATTAACCCGTTAACCACCGAGGTCGCTCTTCTATTCGCTGTTGTTCTTGTCTATCATTATTTTATCATCATATTATTGGCCAGCTGCCTCCAGATTAAACAACAGGTATACCTTGCCTGGACGTCACCGGTATTAGCCGTCCTGATTGGATATTTTGAAATAAAGCGCAATTATTTTTTTTATGTCCCGAAGGCATGTTTTTGATTCATGTCAGGACTTTTTTGAATGAACATGCCTACAGGAGACAAGCAAAACCTATGCCTCTAAACTAGTAGGAAACTCTCTCAACTATGAAAAAATAATATTTAGAATAGGCTATACATTTGTACGTTGTATCTAATAATAAAAATAACTTATTTGGGTCACAGCGATTACAAAATTTAAGCCAATGATGAAAGACATAGTGCTGATACCTGTGAACAAAGTCCAAAGATGTATTATTCCAGCACAATTATATCATTATAAAAAAAATATTTTTATAGCTGTTCCACCTTTAACAAATTCAGTAATTTAAAAAAGGCTTATTTTAATGATCTTTTAAGATCATTTCTGACTTTGTAACAACATTATTCAACAAACTAACCTAATTACATTTCCAAAAAGTGATTCTGAAAGGGCACTTAATGATAAATGTGTTTAATGACATTCAACTACTAACAAACAGTACAGATCACTCAAACTAGACTACTTTACAATATTACACACAAGGATATATAATGTATTTTGAATGTCTACAGTTGTAATACTAATATTAAAGGTGTTCACTTAAAAAAAAAAAAAAAAAAAAACTTTTGCCGATAATTTACTCACCCCCATGTCATCCAAGATGTCCACATCTTTCTTTCTTCAGTTTTCTTTCTTCAGTTCTTTCTTCAGTTCAGTTCAAAGAAATTAAGGTTTTTGATGAAAACATTCCAGGATTTTCTCCATATAATGGACTTCATTGGGTCCACTTCAATGGACCCTTATTCATCGTCTGGAGTCGTTTAAAGCCCTTTGAAGCTGCACTGAAACTGTCTTTTGGACCTTGAATCGTTTGGTTCCCAATGAAGTCCATTATATGGAGAAAATCCTGGAATGTTTTCATCAAAAACCTTCATTTTATTTCGACTGAAGAAAGAAAGACATGGACATCTTGGATGACATGGGGGCGAGTAAATTATCAGCAAAAATTTTTTTTTTTTAAAGTGAACCACTCCTTTAATCACTTCAGGTCAAATAGATCAGAATACTATGGAAGCTTGTTTCCGCCACTGAATAAAAAAATAAAATAAATAATTGTGACTTTTTATCTCACAATTCTGACTTTTTTTCTCACAATTGCGAGATAAAAAGTCCGAATTGCGTGATATAAAGTCGCAATTGCGAGATATAAAGTCAGAATTGCGAGATATAAAGTCAGAATTGCGAGATATAAAGTCAGAATTGCGTGATATAAAGTCGCAATTGCGAGATAAAAAGTCAGAATTGCGAGATATAAAGTCGCAATTGCGAGTTATAAAGTCAGAATTGCGAGATAAAAAGTCAGAATTGCGTGATATAAAGTCGCAATTGCGAGTTATAAAGGCAGAATTGCGAGACATAAAGTCAGAATTGCGTGATATAAAGTCGCAATTGCGAGTTTTAAAGTCAGAATTGCATGATATAAAGTCAGAATTGTGAGATTTAAACTCTTCTGATGGGGGAAAAAGAATTGGCCTAATAAGTCGCAATTGCGAGTTTATATCTCACAATTCTGAGAAAAGATGTCAGAATTTCGACATATAAACTCGCAATTATGTGTTATAAAGTCAGAATTGCGAGATGTAAACTCGCAATTGTGAGAAAAAAAGTCACACTTCTGTCTTTTTTTCTCAGAATTGCGACTTTATATCTCACAATTCTGACTTTATATCACGCAATTCTGACTTTATATCTCGCAATTCTGACTTTATATCTCGTAATTCTGACTTTATAACACACAATTCTGACTTTATAACTCGCAATTGCGACTTTATATCACGCAATTCTGAGAAATAAAGTCAGAATTGTGAGATATAAACTCGCAATTGTGAGAAAAAAAGTCAGAATTGTGAGAAAAAAAGTCAGAATTGTAAGATAAAAAGTCACAATTCTTTATTATATTTTTTATTCAATGGCGGAAACAAGCTTCCATAGAATACAGCAGGTAACGGTACCAATAGCTTTTCCATGAGAACACATTTTGATACAATTAAAAAACGCAAGTGAGCTAACAGTGTTTAGGACAGGAGAACCACAATGGTTGACCGGAGGCGCAAATACATTCTAATCCTGATTTTGCAGCACCATAATGAACAAAGAAAACTGTGACAATAAATCTGGATTGGTAGTAAATGGCACAATTCTGTAAAGGTAAAACATCAGACGGACTGTGCAAAAACCTAAAAAAATAGTTCCAGAACAACAGAATAAAACAGAAAAAGAAAGTGTAAATTTCCAATTACATCTACTTACTACACCTACTACTACAAGTTTAATGTTCTTTTCAATTATATTTCCAGTTTATCAGAATATACAAGCCTCAAATGCCATTGGTCATTGTCAACGGCTTGCTAGTTTCATGTTGCATTTCTTTCTATTTCCAGAGTTTGATAATGATTTGTTTTAGATTGGCAGTTTGGACATGGGTCCCACTTTATATTAAGTGGCTTTAAGTATTATGTACATTATCAACATGGCATCATGACTTTTGCGTAAACATAAATGCCACTTTCAAGTCAAGTGGCGTGTTATCTAAACGTATTTGAGCAATCCGCGTGAATGTCTACGCCGTTAAATGTCCGAGTTATTGCGCATGTATGTCTACGCCGTTAAATGTCTGAGTGAAACTAAGCAAAATGTAGATCTATATCTGGGGAGCGATATTTTTTTTCTAGGACGGTAGGGGAAAACTCATAAACGTTATTAACCCCAGTGATGGGTAGTTTTAGGGACGGGGTTGGGGTAGGTCGAAGAGCGATAATGCGTGTTGATAGCACGCCAAAAATGGAAATACGAATTGGCGTGTCATACATACGCCATTTCATCAGATCAGTCTGACATTATTGTGTTCATGTTGTATTGTAAAACACTTTTGCTGCAATTGAGATGTAAAACGGGTGAGGTTAGGGACAGGTGTGGTGGTATGGGGAGGTATAATGGTGGGATAAGGTAATTGCATAAATGAATTACAGCTGTAATTACATAATTATACATACTTAAAGGAGAACTCCGGCGAACAATGAACCTTTGGTCTAATAAAACATCGGTACATAGTCAACCGTTCTCTGAGATTTGATTTCATGATAATCGATTGTAAAGAGTTTTATCTCTAAAAACTGTTTAGCGTATAATGCTAGTACTGGGGGCATTGACTAAGTAAAAGAAATCGCTAGTTTATACCACTAATAAGGCTCAAAATAGCCGCACACTAACGCAGTAACATAATGAGGCTCCATACATGCAAAACGAAGCATTGAGAACTTTGTAAGTGTACAGACCGTTTAATAAGAAGATACTTTATGAAGACAGTTCACTTCGCGTATACAGACAGGAGCCATCTTAAAAAATAGTCTCGATAAGTCGATCCCCGAACGAAGTGCTGAGTGATCTGAGCTGTATGAAGTTCAGCGAACATCTGAACTGTATGAACCGCGTTCGGGGATCGACTTATCGAGACTATTTTTTAAGATGGCTCCTGTCTGTATACACGAAGTGAACTGTCTTCATAAAGTATCTTCTTATTAAACGGTCTGTACACTTACAAAGTTCCCAATGCTTCGTTTTGCATGTATGGAGCCTCAGTATGTTTCTGTGTTAGTGTGGGGCTATTTTGAGCCTTGTTAGTGGTATAAAGTAGCGATTTCTTTTTACTTAGTCAATGCCCCCATTACTAGCATTATACGCTAAACAGTTTTTAGAGATAAAACTCTTTACATTCGATTATCATGAAAACAAATATCAGATAACGATTGACTAGGTACCGATGTTTTATTAGACCAAAGGTTCATTGTTCGCCGGAGTTCTCCTTTAAAGCCAGTTAATATATAGTGTGACCTGGACTTGTCTACAAATGGACTGCTCTTTAAGTCCTACTCTGTGTCAGACTCATCAGAGGGCCTAGGTTTATGCCATTCACGGTAACAGTCGCGATTCGGAACAAAGCACAAATGGACCTGACAAGTTTCACACAAGACTGGAGTTTTGTGGACACACATTTTGCACTTCCGCCTTCCAAAGGTGCTGTGTCCTCTGATGTACTTGGGCAGGTGGGAGTCAGAAGTACAAGCCGGTGGCATTCGCTCAGGGGCATAATCAGGGCCCGTTCCCGCAAGCTCTCTAACGAGAACCTCCCGGAAGGCCTTCTGGGTCAAAGGCTTCTGGTTCTTCATCTTGGCCATCTGCTGGTGCAAAATGAAGGCATTTACAACAGCGATGTCCACAAAGTGGTAGAAAAAGGACCGATACCACTTCTTTGTTTTATGTAGAACTGTGTAATATCCAATAAGCGCATCAGACAGATCCACTCCTCCCATGTGCCTGGAATGAAAGTAAAAAATATTTAAAGATATGTAATTTATTTGGCATAATTACCACTGATTAAATTCTACTAACTTGTTGTAGTCCAACACTGCGGCTGGAACGGGTAAATCCTGAATTCCCCAAACTCCATCGGCTCCTTTCACATTCCTCTTTATGGTGTCTCCATTAAAGGCTTTGTGAAAGGTGGAGCACATCAGCACATCCCTCTTGTCCTTCCACTCAACAAATAGCAGGTTGTCTTCCCGAAACCAGCGGATATTGCCACGAGGAGCCTGTTTCTTTGAGTGGCCAATGCGGTTCGCTCGAACAGTGCCACAAGCCCAGATCCTCTTAGCGAGCAAGTCTCTGAAGAGCTTGGGACTGGTGTAAAAGTTGTCAACAAACAGCTTGTAGCCAGAACCCAACAACCTTGTGTCTGCCAAGCTAATGACC